TGAACACGTTGAATGCTAATGTCGACGAATTGGAAGGCTCGATCGATGGTAAGTCATCATCTGTGCAATTATGCATGACCTAGTCTGAAACTCGTTACACTTGTAGAAATACAGGCGGACATTGATGATCTCAGCAAGCAGATCTCGACCGACGCTGCCCGACTCGAAGAGCTACAATCGGCGCAAATGGAAAACAGTCGAGGCATCTTGAAGGCCCAAAAAGCCGTGGAACGATACATTACCAAGCGGCAAACACTACTTACGCGCAAGGACGAATGCAACAAGAGTATTCGTGATTTGGGGGTCTTGCCTGAAGAAGCTTACTCAAAAAAATATGAGAAGCCATCCGAAGAGGTACGATATCTTTGTTTCTTGCCTGTGTATCGCTTACTGACAAATTCCTACAGCTCGTGAAACGTCTGCATAAAGTCAATGATGCGCTGAAGGGCTATTCTCATGTCAACAAGCGAGCTTACGAGCAGTACGAAACATTCTCCAGGCAAAAAGACGATCTTATCAAACGACGAGACGAACTGGTCGCGTCAGGTCAGAGCGTTGATGAACTGGTTGACACATTGGACAGACGCAAGGATGAAGCCATCGAACGTACATTCAAGCAGGTTTCCAAGTACTTTGCCGAGATCTTTGAACGCTTGGTACCAGCTGGCAGAGGAAAGTTGCGCATGCAGAGGACAATTGACGATGATGTAAGTCGCTCACTCAAGGTTCTGCACACCTAGAGGCTGATTCCTTCTATAGATCACGGTCGAGGACGAGAGTCAGACGCAGAGCCAGCTTGTCCGTCCAGGCGGGATTGCAAGCTATACTGGTGTATCGATTGAGGTGAGTTGTGAGACTACAGGTACTAAGAAGTGGCGCTGATGTCCTATTGTTTAGGTCTCTTTCAACTCGAAATCCAACGAAGGCCTGCGTATTCAGCAGTTGTCAGGTGGACAGAAATCTTTGGTTGCTTTGGCGACAGGTACGTCCGGGCAAAGATCGCTGTGGGGAAGAATCGCTCACTTCGTTTCTCGTTACAGTCTTTGCTATTCAGAAATGCGATCCTGCCCCATTCTATCTGTTTGACGAGATTGACGCCAACCTTGATGCTCAGTATCGAACCGCTGTTGCTGGTGAGTTTTTCTATGTGCAAGGCTGAACAGCTTACTGAACGCTTTCATTGCCTAGCCATGATTCACGAATTGTCCGACAAGGCTCAGTTCATTACAACAACTTTCCGATCGGAAATGTTGGCTCAAGCTGACAAGTTCTACGGTGTTCTCTTTAACGAACGCAAAGTCAGTAGCATTCAGATTATTAGAAGAGAAGATGCGCAGAACTTTATCGAGAACGTATAATAGAAAGGAGATGTGTTCGTAATTGTATTGGTGGTGAAAGTAGCTAGGTATCTGCGACTAGGGCGCTTGTGGCTGAAAGCAAAAGCAGCATTCCAAGATGTCAACGACATGAATGATTATAGTCCATAAGTTCATGTGTTGCCATATGCTGTCGGGAATTTTACAAGATCGCTCCCAAAATGACGGGGGCGTTTAAAGTCGCACTCCCAACGTTGTCCTTGCCAATTGCCTGTTCGAGTACGCCTTTCTCTTGGATCTCATCGTTCGACGCATCGGGCTCGACATCTAAAGCTTGACCAATCGATGAAGGACCACCCGTCGCCATATCATCGTCGACATTTGCGCTTGATTTCTCTTCAATCTCATCATCCAGGGCGAGCTTATTCAAAGCTATCACAGGAACACCATCTTCTCCTGCCTGAACATCACCTACGGACGCCGGCGAGGGAGCCATTGACCGACGCCGTCTCGGTAGAGATCTTGGCGAATCAGAGTCGTTTCTGGTCGACGAGGATGAGCCAATACTATCAGTCCGGATGACTTCCACGTTGTCTTCTACAACAAGAGGATGCGGTATCGTAATTCCTCCTTTATTGTCGCCATCACGCATATCGGTAGAGGTACGTGTTCTACTTTCAGATCGTTCGAGCTCGCGCAGTTCGTCCTGATCTAATACTGGTGCCGGCTTTCGATGAACGCTCGAAGTGGACCGCGAATGTATAGGCCTGTATGGCTCGAGTAGGTTTTGCGAAGGCAACGGTACGGCGGTAGCAACAGTTGGTAAGGGCGATTGGCTAGGTTTCGGTGAAGGCAAGGGAGGCTCGCGTTTCTCGATGACTCGGGGTAACGGCGATTCGGACATTCGAGAGTTAGGGAGAGAGGGCGACGATAATGGCGACGAGATCGATCTACGATTTTTGTTCGATCCGCCAGAAAAGCTTCGAAAGAAGCTGCGACGCCTGTTGCGCTTGTCTGAATCGTCTGCTGTCGGCGAGGTGTATCCTATCTGTACGATATTTGGTGGTAGAGGTGGCGTTTGCAATGGAGCCGAGACAGACCTGACCCTGCTATCTTGATCCTTTTCAACAGGCGTCGGAGGTATCTCCGGCTTTTCTGACTCCGTTGTGTCGACCAGAACAAGCAAATGCCGCGAACGCAGATCGAATTGCTGGACAACGCGATCGTCTAGCGTGAGGACCATGAAAGCCGGCCACCCTTCAGTCGCATGAGGTATACGACTCGCATCCTTCTCAAACTCGAAGAACGAGGGCCGAAGTCGTGTCACGCCTACAGACTTGAATGTATATGTGCCCTTCGGTGTTGGTTTTCTCGTTGCGGCCTGACCGGGCCTGCCGATACCTAGAGTCGCGGCTGTATGCGACTCTGGTTTCCGAAGCGGCACATGCGATTTAGATACCTGCGGAGCTTCCTTGAACGCCTCTCCTAGAACAAACGGCTTCTCTCGCAGATTCGAACTACCTCCATCAAATCCACTCTGTGCAAAGTCCATCCAGCTTGCATCTGGTTCGGTAATACCTCCCGTTGGCGTTGCATGAGATACCGAATGAGGAGATTCTGGAGGGAAACCTAAGGCCGATGCGTTTCTCGTCGAATGTGGTGTTCCTCCATTGACGCTTGGTGAACGATCGGGTGTGTCTATTCCCTGCATGAAGGAGGAAGACGATGGTGTTCGGAAAGGACGATATAAAGGCCCATCATCGGCACTTCCTTTTGCTGGTGGAGTATGTATGCCGTTTACATTCCGTGATGAGGAGGAAGCAGAGGAGAGATGCTGCGCGTCCTTGATTGCCTGTATAATTTGGCGTAGCGTCGTTGTACCGTCTCTTCCGCTATCAGGAGATCCTATTGCCGCCGGATGACGCCAACTACCCACTTCCTCGTCGTCGACTCCCTCAGTCTTTCCTCTACCAGTACCACTACCCACCGCTTCCAGCAGCACTGCGACCATCTCTCTCGACGAAACCGGTATCACATCCTCGTGCGTCGTCTTCTTGTGAGCGGTTGCAGGTAACGTATATGCAAGATTGAGCAGCAAGACGTCGGTCTCCGGGTTGATGTCGGTATCAGACGGGAGAGCGGGATAAGATTGTACAAGCTCCATGGCGCGCAAGGGTAGTGTACTTGTTGGTTGGTTCCTGCACATAATGTTAAAGAATGTATTAGTCAACCCACCAGATCCTCCGTCGTAAAAACATCAAAAGGCACGGCAGAAGTTGGATGGCCGTAGGGATGGAGAGAAAGAGACGAACAGTGGCAGGAAAAAGCGAAATATGGGCGTACCGGATCCAAGACAAAAACAGTCGATATACCGCCTCTCCTGCTTCCACCCACGCATCGTAAAACATCTGCCATCCTATCACACCTTCACCACTGATCTTGGCGTAGCTCAATAATCTAGGCCAACACGCCATGATCCACCAAGCTGTGATGTCTGCAAGGAAACGAGCGGATGTAGAGTTGAACCGAGAGGAGGTGTCGATGTGTAGCCATGTGTCGAATATGGTTGAGAGGGCGATATGGTGCTGTTTTGAGATGAGAGGAGCAAGGAGGGTGGTATATACGTCTGTAGGATGGGAGGAGGTTTTGTCGGAAATGATGAATGTCGTGTACCACTGCGGAAGTGCGATATACTGGCTTCCTCTCTCCTGCTTCTCCTGTCTTCCTGCAACCTCTGCTTCTTTATCATCAACAGCAGAGACAACCGCCACCTGACTAGTCACGCGTCTAAGCAGCCCAACTAATATCCTCGGATCCTTCACCGCTTGAACGTTCGTCGTAAAATCGTTGTCGAACCATCCTGGTGTCCGTGGGATGAATTCAGGTGCAGGATAGAAGTCGGTAAGGCTCGGAAGCGAGGGGAGGATGGACAGAGGTTCCGGCGAAGTCGATATCATGAGGAGGGAGAGGAGGCGGTTGATTTGTTCTTCTGTTTCTGGAGTAGTAGGGTAGTTGCGTTCGAACAGATGCGGAGTCTCTAGGCCTGTTTTGTAGGTTGAGGAAATCAGTAGTGCCGTTGATGGAGGTGAGGGAGCGAGACCGTAGGAAGAAACATACCAACAGCCAATAATTGTCGTCCTGCAAGACTCCATGCATGTTCTACCTGCTTCCAGTCGAACCGTTCCTCCGATAACCTCTTCGCTTCATCCTCTTCCATCACCTCTGTCTCCCGATCACCTCCGACTCTTGCATTTCTCGAAGATGTTGCCGGTGTCGATACCGCGGAATGCGGTGCAGGAGATGTATTCCCTACTGGTGAAGACGTAGTTCTAAAGTCGAGGTCAATCCTCGGCGGACGTGGAGAGATAGGAGAATTCTTTATGTCGTTTGATGAGCTGTATGATGGCACTTTCACCGCTGTCGGTGCTGGTGCTGGAGAGACCGGCGGAGTGGGCCGAGCATCTTTCTTCTTCCCTCCTCCAGCGAGGCGTGCAAAGAGCTTGCTCATAACGAATGAGGAAAGAGAGAGAATGAGAATAAAAGAGAAAACAACTGGAAACCCGGAACACTATTGTACAACAAGGTTGACATCATCTATAAGCCCCAAATCCCAAACCCGCTGTAATGAAACCTCAAGCCGTTTCCATCAATTGAATTAATCGACCAAAAAGAACAAAAATAAATCTCTCTCGCCGAGAATCGAACTCGGGGCTGATGCGATCCGTTGAATGACAAGCATCGATGTTACCATTACACCACGAAAGATGATCATGTGTATGGTCTTCTGTTTGTTATATGTTCCGCTAAGCTGCTGTCAACCTACGCCTGCTACGCTCCCGCTACTGAGTTGTTTACGATGTGAATGATTGCGTATCACTGAGACTGAATTCATCCCAGACGTTCCCGTATACCTATGTACACACCTTGTTCTTCCTTGATTTGGGAAACCAGTTCTCAACATGGCATACACCACCTGGACACAGGGCTACAAGGAAGCCAATGTACGTATAGTGCTAGGTCAATCCACCAGCTTGAGCTGACCGACCGGTTTGAACACAGACAGCAACAACAGCAGCTCTCAAACTCGAATCAACCCTTCCGCACACCCTTCCAAACCTCGCACAACGCATCTTCCCCTCGTACCTGACAGCAGCAACACAATGGTCCAACCTCCTCTCTTCCGGCCTCGCACCTGCAGCAACAGCACTTGGAAGTACAAGCGGAGAAAGGCAAGAAGCGGTGAAACGTTGGCGGATGTGTTTGGAGCGGGCAGATTTGGTGAAGAAGAAGGTGGCCGCGATGGGTGGAGAGGTGGCAACCAAGCCAGCAGGGATGCGGAGAGCGAATGTGGTAGACCAGGGTGCTCAGGCAGTGTCGGAGAATCGGGAGACGGAGGTGATACGACGGAAGAAGGAGGATGAAGCGGAACAAATCAACATTTTACGCAGGTCAAGCATCATCCGTCATCAGAATCAAACACCTTCCAGCAAGATAAACGCCTCCTCGACGACACCCACAGCAAAAGAGCTACGCCTTCCATTATGGCATGATGCGGACGGAACATTTATTGCACCGCTTACGACCACGCAACTCGACTCCCTCACCGTCCGTCCCGACTTTTCACCCGACCAAAAAGCCTGGGAAGCGAAATGGGAGAACGTGTACTCGCCATCTTGTCCTTGGATCCCATTTGAACCTTTCCTCTCTTCCTCTTCGAATGGCGGCAATACTGGTACTGTTGCTAGGACTGGTGCAGCGGCAGTCAAGATCTCACAAGGAATCGGCGCCAACTGTTCCGTCGTTGCCGGGTTGAACGTGCTTGTGGCTCACAACGCACGTCAAAGAGGTTCGCGGGCGCTTGGTGTGCAGAATCTCGTGGATGTGAGGGTGAAGGTGGAACGAGGGGACCCAGGTAATGTAGAGGCGGGTGGGAAACGGTATTGGAGGGTTAAAGTGTTTGTGAATGGGGCATGGAGAAGCGTAAGTGCATTGACGGCGTCTACCATCTCTTTTACCTGAATTGCCGTTGACTTGCCCTGCATTCTCAGCTCGTCATCGACTCGTGTCTCCCTACTTCCACAAAAACAGACGAACCATTGCACTGCGTCGTCACACCCGATCCACCAACTCAGCCCATCCCATCCCTTTCATCCTTATTCTGGCTCCCGCTCCTCGAAAAGACGTACACATCTCTTCTTGCATCATCCTACGCCTTTCCCGGCTCAACGCCATCAACAGACCTCTTCCACCTGACCGGCTGGATACCTGAACGTATCCCGCTCACAAGGGGTTCTTTTCAGCGCGAACGGACGTGGCAGCGTGTGGACCGAGGATGGCGGGATGGTACGGTGTTGATCACGCTTGGAACGGGCAAAGAACAACAACGACGAAATGGGATTGTCAGGGATCCAAGGGTGGTGCCGCTGCATGCGTATGCTGTGGTGGATGTGCAGCACGGGGATGGGCAGGGAGGTGGAGAGGAGAGGAAGGTAAAGGTCGTTAACCCTTGGCGAAGAGGTCAGACGCGCACTGGCTCGAATGGACGGGAGTGGACGAGGGGAATGTTACAAGCGCTCGTTGAAGAAGCTGAAGACGAGGATGCGGAGCCAGAGGAACCTCCAGGTATGTTGGCTTGATATGCCTACCCTCTCAGCTGCTTGCGAACTGAAATACCCACCCGTTTGGTAGACTCGTGGTGGATGTCGTGGGACGAAATATGCAATACCTTCGATACGCTCAATTTGAACTGGGATCCGCGGATATTCGAGCGTTGCGAGACGGTGCATTCGTGAGTGTCATGTCAGGTTACCTAGTGCCGCGGGTTGGCAAATGAATGTTGGCTAATCCGTACGCGACGACAGCTTGTATACCGATGCCGACGACGAGGGTGAGTGCCACCAACCATATGGTGTATCGTGTACTGTTCCTAAACGCCTTTTTTGCCGGTCGCACGGTTACAGACTCTGTCGAGATAAATGTTTCAGCACTCTCTGCTGGAGCAGACGTCTGGGTCCTTCTCCAGCGGCATATCACGACGTTTGCGACCGCGTCGACCACCTTGGCCGGCTTGGAAAGCGACAGGAGTGGCGGCGACGATGAGGATGGAACAGGCATTTCGATGGCGTTACAGCTTGTGGAAAGTGTAGGGAAGGTGACCAGTGCTCGGCATGTGTGGACGAAGCCAAGTGGCGCTGCAGTGAGTATCCGTGACAGTGTGCGACGCAAGAAGATTGCTAAAAAAGGCGAATCATCGATAGCTCGAATACACTTCCTCTACCTGGATTCTCGTAAGTCACGACATCCAGTTCTTTCGCATCCTTTTGCTGATAATCTAATGCGGTCCCCCGAAACACGCAGGTTCAGCATAAATGCCTGACGGAAACGGCCACCCTCTCTGTTCGCCCGCGGTTCGAAGTACCGTCAACGGCCCCACCGCAAACGCATGCGAATGGCATCGCTTACACGGTGACCGTCTACTCGGATGCCAATATCGTGGCTCACAAGAATACCATGATATATGGTTACGAAAGAACCGTAAGCTTTGTCGCTTTCCTATGCTGCGTGCAATACAAATGCTGATCAGCCTTTGGTTCCCACAGGTAGACGTCGAGTTCTCGGGTCGCACAGCAGGGGGCAACCCATCACATCCGACATTCATGTACAACCCCCAATACCGCGTACACATCAAACCAGATATGTCAGAAAGGGCGAAAAGGTCTACAGCAAACGTCAAGTGTCAATTGATCGGCGACGATCAAACAAGTTATAATGTCAAGTTGGTTTGGAATCAAGGGGAGCGTGTTACAGAGTATGTACAGGGACCGTTGACTGATTTCGCCTTACAACTACCTGATTTCTCCGTCATCTCCTTCAGCTTGCAAACACAGGACGTCGTTGCCGATTCGGGGGAATACCGGTATGGACAAACTTCTGTCTCGAAGGCAGGTGTCGGAGGTAAGCTCCAGCCGACGAGCATATTGCTAACGGACTGCGTCAAACACTGACAACATGTTTATGTGTAGTCGGATCTTACACGCTGGTGCCGTCGTCATTCGAAGCAAACAGGGCGTCCAAGGCGACACTCAGGATCCAGTCGACATTACCTTTGGAGGTCTCGTCTGTTCCACAAGAGGGGGCTGGCATGTTCTCCCGTACGGTAAAGGGCCAATGGTAGGTGTCTCAAATGTGGCACTCGTTCAAAAACCGATCTCACGACTTTGATCTTCTTTCCCGAATAGGTCGGGCTCCTCGGCTGCAGGGCGTCCATCGTTGGGTTCATACGAGCAGAATCCACGATATGAGCTGCTTCTACCTGAACCTACAACCATATTGTGCGTACATCTCTCTCGCGTACGACGCTTTTGATCCGTTCTGACGCTGTTACTGCTACAGATGCCGACTACAGCTTGCCGCTACCACAGGCACACCAATACCCATCAGCATCGCTATATTCAAGCGCGGGCCATCAGGGTCATTGAAACAGCAAGTAGCAACCTCTGGGCCGTACGCGGATCCTGTAAGCGGTGTCGTGATCCCACAAACACATCTTGAGGCCGGGATATACGTTCTTGTGCCTTCAACGTATGCAGGTGGTACAGAGGCGAGTTATGTCGTCAGTGTATACGCGACACGGAAATTTGAAGTTTCTGGCATGTAGTATTACGGATAGAGAGAGGATATCGATAAACCCAAATGTAAAGGTTATCCGATAATGAATGAATCACAAGTATAACATCAATAAACAACAGCACAGCAGATCTTTGTGAATATGCATACAGGTCCGTCCTTTGGGCGTCACACCAATTCACATGCACTTTACAACCGTTTACCCCGCACTGCAAACAACACGCATCGATTTAAGCATGTCGCGGTTCAAACTTTTCGTGATCTTCCTGATCGGACGTTGGAGGGATACCAAGGATCTTTGGCGCCACGACGGCATTCATCTTCCGGAGCATCTGTTAGACAAGACCAGAGGAATCTTGCATCAGGCCCCTTCAAGTTCTCACTGGTAGAAAAAAGCGAAAACGACATACGGTAATCAAACTGTTCTCCGGAATCTCTTCCATCGGTCTATCCTGAATCCTAACAATCTTCCCGCTCTCCTCATCACTGAACACTACCAACGTCGAGTGCATGTTGACGGCGTTTCCAAGAGGTTTGAACGTAAACTTTTGGTGGACCTTGATGTCGATTTCGGAAATCTTGTTAGTTGCAGAAGGGAGAGATGCGGGTTCCGAAGAGTCGGTGCCAGCATCCGGGTGTACTTGTGCGGCAGTGGCAGGTTTGACGGCGATGACTTCGTGCGAGATCGTTTCCGATTTGGTCGTTACGATCGGCAGACCCAAGAATTGACCAGCTACCACCGTCAACGAACAGCATGCGCGTAAGTAACAAACATAGCTGAAACCAAGAAACCGACAGACGAGTACCCACCGACTTCTACCCGATTCTTCGCAGTAGCAAACAAGTCCTCATAAACTGCATCCTCCGCCAATCCTTCCTCTATTTTGGCCCATGTTCCTTTTGCTTGGAACAAGTCAAAGACGAGGCAGACATGGTACTGCTGCAACGGCGTAAGATGGATGCCAGGTGCGTATCGCAAGGTTGCAGGCTGGTTGGCGAGCGATGTGAGCGAGTTTCCAAGGTGAAGTTGGGCCGAAGAGTCGGTGGAAGTCATGATGGTCGATGCTAGATGTGCGGTAGAGGACTGGAAGAGATATTGCTGGTGGTGTGTGGCACACATTTTGTCATGATTGTATGGT